CTTCCCTCATGAGTTTACTGCAAGCCTTACCTGAGATACTAGCACATCCAGCACTGAGCCTTGCACTTAGATGACGCTCAATAGGTGACTTCCGCTCCCACTTCCTGGAATTCTAACGGCCTCCCAGAGCAGCCTGAGCTGCCTGCCACTGGGATCAAATATATGGATGGTGTTTTTTGCACCTATTAACTCCTCTCTCCCTCAATGTTCACTCCTTCATCCTGCAATCCCCCTGCTGGAGAATTCCCCGTTCTCATTTTGCAGGTGGGCACCAGTAGAGCTCAATGGCTGGTGAAACCTGAGCCAGTAGCCAGGCCTGCAACTCCTCAAAATCCAGCCCTTTCATTCTCCACGCAGAGCACGTAATGAGCTGGTGGCAGGCAGGTATTTTTGGGGGGCAACACTCTTCCCTCGAGTATGGCCACTTTGTGTTGTCAATTCCAATGCCTGTGTGTGGCCAGCCTCCTAACTGGCTGTTGTCTGTGTTTATGGTCCTCCGTCCCCTCTTCTAGGCACAGGCCAGTTGGATCAGTCTTGTCTGGCCCATCCCAAGGCTTCCTCGCATGTGGCTGGAATGTACCTGTGCACACTCACTCTGCCCTCCCGCACCCTCTCTGGCAACAGCACCTCACACCAGCCACACTCACTGGCTTGCACACTCAGATATGCTCAGTAGGACAGTGTCACAAAGCTCAGCGTTCTCTGAGGCCACTAGAGAGACAAGTGTCATTCATTCTCCTGCCACACCCACACTGGGTGGTACGCATACTGGGACTGATCCCAGGGTCACAGCCATGGGCTAGGTCAGCCCCTGCTCGCAGAGCTCCACTGTGGGGGACAGAAGATTTCACTGAAGATGGCATGCGGGTGGTGAGTTCTGGAGGAGCTCAGCCTGGGAGCCTGTGGGAGCACGGGGGAAGCGGTTCACCTTTGTGCCTTGAAAAATGTTTCATGGGAAAGGAGGTAGGCACTTTCTCACCATTCTTAAAAGGACAAGTCTTAAAAGACAAGAGTGTATAAAGTAGAGTCTCTTTAAAAAGATAAACAGTGTTAATGTGTGACCCAGAAATTCCACTCCTTGGTATAGAGCCAAGAGAAATGAAAACAGAAAACATGTCCTTGAGTGCTTGTAACCACGATATTCCATTATGGCAAAAAGTGAAAACAACCCAAAGGCCCATTTAATGATGAGTGGAAGTCAGCAGAATGTGTTCTGTCCATACTGGGGAGTACTATACAGCTCCAGAAAGGGATGGAGTCGTGGTGTGAGCTGTGGCAGGGAAGCACCCTAAAAACACTGAGTGACACCATCACCAACTGCCATGCACTGTACGATTCCATTGATGTGAAATATCTAGAATAAGCAAATCCACAGAAACAAAGAATAAGTTAGTAACTGACAGAGACTGGAGAGGAGAAAAGGGAGTGGCTGTTAATGGATATGGGGTTTCATCTGAGGGTGCTATGAGAAATGATGAGATAATGAAAATCACACACTTGTACTTAAAGAGCCAATCAGTCAGTCATACACTTGCACTGTTATATGAATTGTATCTCAATTTTTAAATATTGATGAAAACATGTTTTCTAGGTGAAGAGTCAAAGCAGATAGAGTGCAGGATATTCTGGTGAACCTCTAGTGTCCAGGGCAGGAGCACAGTGTGCTGTATTTTTCTGTTGTGGCTTCACAGCTTTAGAAGGCTAAAACAGTGTCAGCCCTTAATTCCTAAATCCTCTCTTAGAAGTTTTTGGTTACTCATACTGGTATAAACTATTCTGGCATCCTTAAAATGTCCAGAAGTGAAATGGACTTCAGGTACAGCTTGATCAGAAATCAGTTTCTCTGTGATTTTTTTTCTGGCTTTTTGAGACAGGGTCTCACCAGCCAGCCTGGCCTCTAACTTGTCATCCTCCTGCTTCAGCCTCCTACAGGACTGTGCCACCACATCTGGCCTCTCTGATTCTTTCGTCTCTGATTCTTTCATCTCTGCCTTCCTTCATGATGAAGTCATCACTGTAGCTTCCCACATGTTAAGAAAATACGAAAAAAAAAAAAAAAGATTCAGTTCAACCTGAAAGACCTTAGAGGAGTTTTCTTAGACAAGAGAAAATTCTTCCCAAGTTTCAAATGATGGGCAAAACCTCAAGAGTAGATATTCTAGTTCAGTGGAACACCCTGATTGGGAAGTGAAGGGTGTGTCTGGGAAGAGTTCAAGAGTCAGTGGGATCTGGCAGCTTGTAGGAAGCAAGCAGATGCCGGACTGGATAAGCTTGGACTTTAAATTAGAAACAGAGGGTAGGCAGATAATCTGCAGTGGAGCCACAGATGAGCCCTTGGCAAAGTCTATCTGGTTGTCAGTACCGTGGAATTCTGTTGCTTCGCTTAGGTGTGATAATATTGTAGCCATGGAGGAACCATACTCATGCATGCCGCAGTGTCATCGAGTCTGCCATCTACTTTCCGATGTTGGGAGAAGCGGGCCGGGGAAGCAGACATGCCACAGTGTCAGCTGTTGCAAATTCCTGGATGTGAATGGGCGGTGCTCATTGTGCAGTTCTGCTATCTGTGTGAGCAAAGGAAAGAAGTGGGGAGAGCAGACAGACCTCACTGAAAGCGGGACAAGCTGGAGAGGTGACACAGTGAACGATCCAGACCAAGGGAGCCCCATGTGAGCTGGGGCCACAGATCAGGGCTGGGGAACTGACATGGGCCAGGGGAGGCGCAATGTTCCGGTGACTCTGCAGCTTCTAGCCTGAGGGCCCCAGTCAACCCTGATACCAGGAGCAGAGGAGGAAGGAAGGGACCCCCAGAGAGTCGCTTTGACTCTGTAATCCATCCTTGATCATCTGTGGGACTCATCTTGAATCACAGCATTTCAGAGTCTGGAATGGCACACCTGAACAAACCACTGGTTTTCCCGATGCAGAAACTGAGGCACAGACTCGTCTGAAGTCCCAACATCAGATAAATGATTGTGCCCACCTTCCTGTTCTTCCTGTGAACACCCTGCACAGGAGACCAAGCCCAGGAGCATGGCATGGGGCACCTATTCTGTCTGCCTTTCCCTGTGCATTGTCTGAACTTCGTGCCCTCAGGGAGCTTTTCCTTGGGCAATTTACCCCTGTGGATGAGGTAGTCACAACCAACTGTGACAGGACCAGGCATAGGTCCGGGGGCTTTAGACATAGTCCACTTAATCCTCAGCTCTGTGAGGCAGGTGATATGTTTAGGACCATTCTGTAAATGGCACCAGTGAGGTCAAGAGGTGTCCCAAGGTCACACTGCTTGTGATGGAGTTGTGACGAGAGCCCAGGCAACTGGCCCTAAGGCCACCTCGACGTCGACCCTGCCACCAGGTAGGCATGGAAGTGGCTCCCAGACTAATTCACATCCCCACATCCCCAGCAACTGCCTAACTGATTGATTAACTGACTGATGGATGTGTTTATCTGGCCAGGGAGAGGGTCACCTGCAAATTCTGGCCCAGCCTCGTTGACTTTTGCAGTAAGTCAGGACCTATTTATCACTTGTGGAGTATTTTGGAGGTCCATGATAAAAAAGAAATGCAAAATTTCATTTCACTTCCCTGCTACATGCTCATTCTTTTTTAATAACCCGCTCTTATCAGCCTCCTGGCAGCCTCCGCATATCCTGTGCATGTTAATTACTTTATTAATTACGCTGATATCTTTGGTTCTGCCCCACGTATCTTGGTGCTTTTTGTTTTCAACGTGCACCCATTTTGCCTTGTTCATTGGCACACGCAGGCCCAGTTTTCATTTCTAAAAGGGATTCTTTGAGCCTCGGTAAACACGTGGCTTTCAATTAGTCTTGCAATCATCATTTCCATTTTCATCTCAGCCACATCACGCACAGAGTGATTTTACCATTCTCTCAAATAGAAGCCTCATTGTTAAGTTTCTGACGTTGTTCGTCAGTCCTTGTTTTCTCTCCAGATCACAGCTCAGAGAACCCGGATAACCTAGCACTGTGCAAGATCCGGAGCACTAAGGAGTCTGGGGAGGGGGAGGGAGGAATGGAGCAACCCTGGGGATCACGGACAGGAGCTGGCAGGACGAATCTGCAGTGTTCTGGGCCTTGGTCCTGTGTTGACTCTATCCTGAAAGCTAGCATCCTCCAGAAGTATGGGAGATACACCGCTAATCCCATTCAGTGGCCCAAAATAAAAGAGAAAGGGAGATTTCACAGCTCAAAGTTTCAGAAATCCTGGACCTACATAGCTGCTTCTTGGAAATGCATAACATACCTGTGGCATGTTCAGGGTACTTGAAAATTCTGGAGTTTGATTTTTTTAATTATTAAAGGCAGTTTTAATTTTTAATAGGGGAAACAGTATTGATTAGCATGTGTAAAACTTCTTTGGCCACAGACCCTCTTATCAAGAAGCCTGTTTACATCTGCAGGTGCTGAAGCATAGAATCCAGGAGGTGCAGCTGGTGGGACCCTAGAGAGGCAGCTCCCGCTGTGGGCAGGAGCCGGGGAGACTGGAGGCAGAGCAGGGAACGAGGAGGCGGTAGAACAGTTCAAGGCATAATGAGGATCTAAACCAAGGGTTTCTAATGTTTCACTGTTTTCTTTCCATTTTATTTCAAGCTGCATTGTTGTTTTAAAATTGGAAAATCGGTGTTGCTATTATAAATCATAGCACAAGGATTTTACTCAGCCATAAAATCTGAATGAGAAACCAATCCACGCAGCCTTCCATCTCCAGGGGAAGTGCTTAGCCCAACAGGGAGCAGAAATACAATCGTATCCGTTTCTGCCAGCCCCTGGGCCCCTTTCCAGTCACAGAGATGCGGCATCCTCCTCCAGATCCATACCTCAGAGCCTTTTGGACCCTGAGCAAATGGCTACACTGCTCCATGCCTCAGTTTCCCCATCTGATACCGAGAAAAAATAACCCTTCCTAACTCAGCTTCTACATTAGCAAATTCAACCAACTACAAATGAACAATATTCAAAAAAGACAGACTGTATCTGTATTGGACATATATAGACTTTTTTATTATTATTCCCTAAATAATACACTATAACAATTATTCTTATAGTATTTACATATTACAGACTTCTTTCTTTTCATTATTCCCAAATAATACACTATAACAATTATCCTCCTACCATTTATACAGAGATGGTTTCATGTGTAAGGGATGATATGTGTTAGTGACGTGTAAATACTGTGCCACGTCACACAACGCACTTGAGCATCGCCAATCTGACTACCCTTGAGGCTGCTGGAATTGTTACTGAGATCTTTTTTCGTAGATTGATAGAAACAGGAACAAGCAAAATAGTGCAAGCACATACACAGGCAAACAAAGCTTTACTTGGGGTTTCAGCTGAAGGGGGACCGCACTGACCAGGAAAACAGGGCATCAGGCTGCTCCTTAAGGAAGAGGAACCGTAGGCTTTGATTTGCTTCGGTGGGCTGAAGTCTAGTAATTTTCCGCTGGCCAAGGGCACAGTTCCAAAAGACATTTCTTCTTGTGCAAGATTTGGACCACTGTCCAGTCTCAGTCAACTTGTCCTACAGACTGAATTACTCTCCGTCTGGTTCCCTCATCCTGAGCAAACACTTTCCAAAGAAAAGTTGTAGGAGCCTGTGGCAGATTCTACAAAGTAGAATAATGTTACCTCATAAAAACGCATGCATATTGAATTTTTGGATGTTTACCCCTTTAAATGTGCTGCCCATGGATGTGTGTGGGGTGCACTGAGAAGCAGTATATCACCACCGTAACTGCGTGGAGGAGAAGCACTGGCAGGGAGGGAAAGAACGGGCCAAGAAAGATGAGCCCCGCTGCAGGGGAGAGCTGTGACATTCTCCTGTGGCCTGCTGCCACCCAGGGATTCCCACACACCACCCACAGTGGTGGTGGCAGCAATTACAACATCCTATTTTGGAAGAGTCTCTGCAACATTGCACTTTTGTGGCTCCCAATACGCTTGCTTCTCTGAATGACAACAAGAAGATGAAATGGCTGTATTGTTCTTTGCCATGTGTCTGTGGAATGCATGTGTGTCCTGGCTCTGTAGTCTTTTGTCTTCCTAGGTTATTGCTTGAATACTCAGAACGCCCCTCTGCACAGGGGACTCCAGCATGGATCACAGACCCTGGGACGCACAGAAAGCACGTAACAGTCCTGGGCCTGAACCCTGATCCAACTTCAAGGCCAGGGGCTGCCCATTTTACCAATGCCTGCAGTGCTCCCAGGCTGTCTGCACTAAGGAAAAGCAAAGTATAAACTGGGAGAACAGAGACTGCAGAGGAAACACTTGAGGTTCACCCAGGCTTTCTTGTTCCTTGGTGAGCAATACTTTGAAAGCTAGCCAGAGTTCCAGGGAGGACCACAAACAACGGAAAGGACCCTGTGCTCAGAGTCGGACATCAGAGCTCAAGTGCCAGCTGCTCAGTCTTTGTGCTGTGCAATCTTGAGTAAGTTCCAGCCCGTTCCTGAGCTCTCAGTTCTGTGCATGGTGGGACTGATGCTGATGGCCCTACTAAAAATCTAGTGTTGGCAAGCAGAGCTAGTGAAACTGAGATCCATGAAACTGAGTGCACATGCAGAGCAGCAGTGGAGCGGAAGAGCTCTGGCAGGATTCCCAAGGCGCAGCGCACTGATGGAAAGCCTCTTTGCACCCTAGTTCTGTCACCTCCCTGTTCACGCCAACCTGGATTCGGACGTGACAGCAGGGAGTCTCCATGAACAACCAGCCAGGCCGTGCACTGAGTAGTAAGCAGCCCCTGGGAGAAGGTGATAAGGGCCAGCATCTGCGGAAACAGGCCACGGCTGAACAGGAGCAGCCCTACTGCCTCGAGGTCCACAGCTGGCTAGGAGAGGTGCCAGCCTGGCTGGGATGGAGGCTGGGCTGCTCAGACAAGGCCTCCTGGCAGCTTCACTCACTTCTAGGCCCCTGATGTTTCTAAGGCCTGGGAACAGTTATCCCCACATGCAGACCCTTGACCTGGGGCTTTGTGCACAGGCAGGAGCTTGGGTGTTAGGCACCTCAGTGGGCGCGCCTAGGGAGCAGAAGGCCCTTGGCCAGCTCAGGCAAGACCTCCCGGCCTTTCTCATCTCACAGCATGCACACAGAAACCAGTTATTAGCACAAGACCAGTGGCCCCACTACACCCACATAGAGGAGAACACCATTTCAAGATACTTGGAACTTGATTCTGGAACAGGATGCTGTTGGGAAAATCTAGGCTTGTGTGAGAGCGAAGGTTTGAGGATGTGGGCCAACTGGGATCAAGCCCAGCTCTGTCCTTCACCTTCCCTGTGCTAAGCTGGGGAAAGAGGTACCCAGCAAAGGGATGCCCATGAGCAAGAGGCAGTGGGGAGAGAGGGAGCAGAGAATGCTAGATGGGCTCCGAGAGGAGTGGCTGGGCTGGAAAGAGAGGCGTGGAACACGGAGGCCAGAGAGGGCGCCATGGCCCTCAGAGGTCCCCGGAGGAGGCCATGGGGAGCAGTTCAGGACATGGGCCAGCAGAGCAGGCTGGAGAATGGCAGGGGGTGAAGAATAGAAGCAGGCCGAGGAAGGGAAGAGAGAGGGGCAAGGAGCCTGAGAAGCAAAGAGCAGCAGACGAGGCAGCGACCAACCCTGGCTGCGGCGCTGGGGAGCCCCAGGGTGGGGGAGAGCAGAAGGAGAAGGTGACCGATGGAGCAGACATGTGCTGGTGGCTTTTTCTTCCCCTCATTATTTTCCAGCCAGTGCTAGGTACAAGCCAAATGACAGCTCCCTTGCCATACTTCTGATTTTATTTATTCTCAGGGTTTAATTTACATCATCTCAGACTTGCACTGTACCGTGTCGGTGTCTGAGGGGCCCACACTTCTCCCCGGTCTCTTTTGTCTTTGTCTATTTTTGCCATCCTGCTTCTATCTGACTGTAGTGCTCCCTTCGCCCCGCCAGCCCCACCTGCCCCCAAACACCCAGCGGCCTTGCACTGCTGGAGGACAGTATGGCTCTGCTCTCAAGACAGTCACACCATGTGACCCCTCAAAACATGATCCTGCTGGTGGCTGCCTAGCCAGCCTGGAGCACAGGGGAGGATGGGTGCAAGTCTGGGTTGTCTGCTTCCCACCCGATGCTACCACCTTGAAATCATCAGGGCCATCGTGGAGAAGAGATTTGCTTTCCCAAGGTCAGCAAGCAGACTTCTCCACTCAATGATGCTGCTTTGACACAGATCAGGTGTCCATGTGAATAGTCAGAAATGCCAGTGTTAGCTGGAGGCCTCCTGGGAAGGCTTGGCTCTAATGCCCAAAGCCAGACCCGGTGACCTCCTGAGTGTGCTGGAGATTCCTGCCTCTCCCAGCCTTCCTGACAGACTCCTGGTCCAGCTCCAGGTTCACAGAGCCCCAGGGGTCCCCTCATGTGCTTCAATACCCTCTGCATTTTGTTAGAGCTTCCAGAAAGGGTGGAAGAACAGGCACCATCCTCAGAAGGGTGGCCTTGCCTGAGGGACTTCTCACCAGCTCTGGGCTAGCAGAATGTCCTCAGTGGACCAGGTGCCCCTCTCCCACTGCCAGGTCCCTAACCTCAGCCATTGCTCACCTATCTCCAGCTCTTCAAAGAAAACAGTTGTAATGCATGTTTGGAAATTTTCCTTACAAATAACAGCTGTTGTGAGGGCTCCCTAGACTCTAGAATGAGGCTGGAGATTCCCATGCCTGTGGAGGCCACTCAGGTGACCTGCTAGACAAGCAGCCTGGATGTGAGGTGGCAGCAGACGGTGCGAGGCAGACCCAAGCAGCCGGGGTCTCATCTTCCAAAGGAAGCTGGAAGTCGAGTTCCCCATGAAGTCATCTGACTTTAAATGCTGATGATGAAGTCTAAGAACACTTACGGGCCGAGTAGGTCAGGTAACACATCCATGGCCACACACTGCTCCAGGGCTGCTCATCTCTCTTCTCAGGAGTGCGAGGACAGCTTGCCGCCAGTCTGCTGCTGTGAGCCAGAATGCCATCTCCATAGGAATCCTGCCCTCCCTCCCTTTCCTGGGTCCTGGGCCACTGTTACATCCGGGAATCGAGAGTTTGGATGCTGGTTTCTCTTCACTTAGCAGTCACTCTGGAAAATACCCACCTTTGTGCAGGCACCACGGACTCCCAGAGGCAGTGGTGCCATGGTGTGTTTGCAGTGTGCCTGTGAAAGTCTCATAACCAACACTCTGGCTCAGGGTTCAGCGCAGTACCTGAGAACTTGAGGATCGGGAGTGCCCATGAGGTGCAGAAGGCCCATCTCCCTGAGAACCAGGGTGCGGGGAATGAAAACCGTGGAGCTGCCACCACCTGCTCTGTGGGAGAGCCGTTGGCCTGGGCTTGGTCTCTGGCTTGTTCTGTTTCCGTAAGCAAGACCCCTGACCTTACTGAGCCTCAGTTTCCTCTCCTGAGTCATAGGTGTAAGATTGCTGGCTCCTTCACAGTCCTGCACTGAAGTCAAAATCAAAGAGAATATATCACACAAAGCACACAGAGGCCTGGGGGGGCCGCACTCGTCAGCTTGTAGCCTCCCAAACCCTGACACGACCTGGAACATCCAGGCCGCTCCAAGGCCACACCCAGGACGCCTCTGGGACAGGACCTGGCAGACTCCTGGCTGCTCCGCAGGGTCCCCCCCCCCCCCCCCCGTGTCCCCTTGATGCTGCTGTCTCTCCTGTGCTGCTTCCCGAATGTGGCCGGACAGGCCGGTTCTGCCTTTGCTCTGGCTGTTTCCTCCAGCACTCAGGCCTGACACAGAAGCCAGGACCCCAAGCTATCCACTCACGGTAAAACCTCTTCTGGGCCTCTTGTGAAAAAAAGTGAAGTCGTATAGTATATAAGTTTCACATGTGAAGTTTCTCCACATGTGAAAAAAAGTGGAGTCGGATAGTATATAAGCCCTTCCAAGTGTCTGGAGATAGGGTGATGGGGAGGAGAACTGGGGTGGTCATAGTGACTTGGGGACATCTGTGGCCTTAGTGCTGAGAGTCCAGAGGGTCTGTGCACCCCCATGCAGCACAGGACTCGCTCCCACAATGGAGAGCCACTCTCTGCCTCCCTGGGAGAAATGGCTAAAAATAACCCCTGGCTGAGCACCCCCGGTGGGCGCGCTCACTCACCCCTTCCCCGGCTGAGATTCCAGGGGGATGGGGAATCATCCAAACCTGTAATCAGACGTTCAAAAAGAAATTCTTACCTTGAAATGACAGCTTCTAGCTTTGCTGCCTCAGAGATGCGGGGCTGCTGCCGCTGAGATAAGCAGTCCAGGCCCTGCAGGGCTGGGAGGCCCCTCCAGCTCCAGCTCCCCTCTCCATGCGCCTCTGTACGGGAAGATAATGATGCTGGTTGACACGTCAAGAGCGGGCTTTCAGCCGCTACAGCTGTAAACACACCAGCTGGCTTCCCTGATGGCCTCACCAGCCTTGGGAAGCTGTAGATGAAGAGATCAGAGCTCAGAGAGGCTCAGACATGTGTTCAAAGTCACACAGCCAGCGTGTGATGAACATAGAATCGGAATTGCCTGTCCTTTTGATATAGAGGAACGAAATTCCCAGCCCACTAGATGTCCAGTATCAGTTCGTGTTCTCGAAAATCAAAGAATGAATTTTAGGAACTACGGAGGTTAAGAGCAGGATATATTTATTGAGAGAAAGAAAGCTACAGACTTTTATAGAGTAAAATCACAAAGTGAGGCAGGTCTCAGGTGGGGAAAACATGGGAACTCACAAGTTGGGCATGAGGGGGGACAGAGCTGGGGCCAACCTATAAGATTAACTGCTCAGGTAAAATTGATTAAATCGAGGACACCTGGGGAAGCCAGTCATGTGGCAGGCGGGCATGCATATAAAGCAGTGACTCTTGCTGCAGGGGGCTGGGATGGTGACTCCTTGGCTTCCTCAGGGTGACAAAGACCTACTTAGAATATCAACTTCTGACGCTTATCTTCAGGAAGTATGTGGGTGTATTTGATTTATCATTTGTCTTGAGGTCTGGCCCACAGTGGTAGTGTCTGTATCCACCATAGTTACCTTCTGCTCGGGCTCTTTTGAGAACTCAGCACTGTCTGACTGCCTATAATATTTCTATCTAACTCAGTTGCCTGTATCACTTTCCCTCCCTGTCCAGGCTTCCTTTGTGGGTTCTTCCATCTCCCCCAAAAGAGCCAGTGCCAGCTCCCCAGAGAAAGAGGCAGATTGAGGCACAGAAACACAGTCCAGAAAGATCAAACACCCTCCAACACACCACACACACACACACACACACACACACTCTCTCTCTCTCTCTCTCTCTCTCTCTCTCTCTCTCTCTCTCTCTCTCTCTCCCAGGAGAAAAAAATCCACATTTTACATGTTTTTAAAATTGACTTTGCAATGTATTTTTTTAAAAAGTGGAAAGAATGGCCAAGAAGGGAGTTGTGTGAGGCAGCCTTAGGAGCCAGTCAGAAGGTAGAAGATCCCTTCTGCAAAGAAGCCATGGCCAAGCCCAGGGCCCTGTGCTGCCCACAGGAGCTGCAGAGGAGAGGACGGTGGACCCCAGCCCAGAGGCCCATGATGGGGTGAGGCTCATGAAGCCCGGATGCACACCCTCTGACCCACTCACCTTTCTTGCATGGCCCTGAATCCTCCCAGCTCCACTGCCCAGCCAGCCCCACAGAGAGCAGCAGAAGCACAGAGCACCGTGATCTGGTCCAGAGTCAAAATCCACAAAGCAGCTGGGTCACAGCCACCCTGTGCTTAACCACCACTCTCCCCATGCCAGAGGTATGCAGAGGAAAAAAGGAACCCTCATTCTTATTAAAAAAAAATCTCTAATCCGAAGACTAAATGTCACCCCTTTGTTTAACACTCCTGCATACTGAAATTGAACCCAAGGCCTTTGCACTGAGCTCCACCCCCAGCCTGTGGCTGTTGCTTGACAGAATTTTGCTGCATTGTGAAATTTCTCACGCTGTGCTTAAACTCATAATCCTTCTGCCTCAGCTTCCCAGAATGCTGGGATTATAGGCAGGCGCTGCCATGCTCAGTGTTTAAAACCTTTTAAAGGCTTTACTGCACAAAGGGTGGGCCCTGGGCCAACAGCATCCTTTCTCTTGGTTGCTACCTAAAAATGCAGTTCCTGGGACACCCACCATCCCCAGACCCATGGACCTACTATTACACTGTCCCAGGCTCCTATTGGTTTGTATCCATGTCATCCAATAAGACTCCCCGGCAGCCTCTAAATTACAGCACCCCAGCCATACTAGCTCCTTTCGTTTCTAAACTATACTGAAGTCTTTGTCGTGTCAGTCCTGCCCATACAGGAGTTTCCTAGGTTTTCACATCCTTCAGGTCTCAAACTAAGGTCGCCACTTCCAAAAACCCTTCCCAGACTAGCTGTCAGTACTTCTCAATAGACCTTGGTGTTCTCCTTAGGAACACTTGTCTCCACTGGTCTTCATAGCTGTTCTGTGTGGTTCGTCAAACATCTGTGTCTACTAGAATCTAGCTCCAAGGAGGCAGACATCATGTTGGTTTTCTGTACCATATGCCCAGGCCCCAGAACAGTGCATGGCACACCACAGGTACATGAGAAATACAGACAAGTTAACTTTGAATGAAGAAATTTAGGACGAAGAGAGTCCTCCCTTAATGATGCAGGCTCATATTAACCACACTGTAAGTTAACCCTTGAGCTCACTTTGCAAATGGGAAATTGAGGTCAGGAAAAGGACTTGGTCAAGGTCAGCCAGAAAGTCCATAGCAGGACCAACATCTTTGACCTTTTAGGCCTCAACACCTTGGCCTCCCACTGGTCCATTTGTGCAGCCTGACAATGCAGGACATTTGCAGAGGCCACCGACCTACATTATGAATACTGCATCCTGCAGAGAGACTCGCAGGCCAGCTGCTCTCCTCTCCCTTCACAGATGAACAAGGCTTTCCCAGGCAGCTCCTGCGTGCCTCTCGCTGAGCAGCCTGACCAGGAACCAGATGTGAGCACTTCCACCCTCCAGCCATCACAGACAAGAGCCACCTTTGCTGGGTGCAACATCTGCCAGGCAGGAAAGAGCTTTTCTTGGCTTGAGTTCAGCTTGGGACACCAAAGCACAGCTTTTGCAGAGCTCTGAGGCTTCCAGGGAGGCAGCTATGGAATGCTTCATGATGAAGTGTCTACCCCTGGAGATGGCACCTCCCAGTGTGCACAGCAGGTTCATACCCAACATCTCCCTGGAATTTGACACCACACTGAGCAGAGAAAGGCAGGGCAGGCTGGGAAGGCTGATGGGGAGGGTAGGTGGAGCACAGGTTGTGCCTGAGACAGCTCTGAGATGCACCACCTGGAGATCCTGGGCAAGTTAGATAACCTCTCTGTGCCTCAGTTTCCGTATCTGTAGAATTACTTCTTTGAGAATACTGATGGGGGCGCTGCTTCCAATCGCTGGATTCTTGGGAGGCTTCAACAAGACCACGTGAGCAGAACTCTCACCCTGGCAGCTCGCAAGGGTCCAGCAAGCTTCCATGTTCTAATGGCTGCTGTTACTGGTTGAGGCCACCCCATTCTCCCTCTGAGCCCACTTCTCACAGAAACTGTTCTGGTCTTACCAAAACGGAAGATGCTGCTGCATCCCCGAACACACAGCAGTAGCTGCAAACCAGTGGTGTGTAATATTTATTCATTGAGTCTGTGATCGTCTCGGGAATTGCCAGTGTGAGAAACAAGGAGGAAAAACAAGAGAAAGAGTCTTTTGAAAGTCCTTGTAGGCAAATCATCCATCCTGGGCAACAGAAGCATTCTTAAGATAGTGGAAATGCAGTCATTAATACTGGACTGAGAAGTAGGCCTGAAGCCAGGGCTCAGGTCCTCATGCAAGACCCCAGCGTCTGCACTGCACCCCGAGGCTATACTACGGCAGCCTCCGCTCAGTGCTAGTCGTGGCCTGGGCTCCCTGTGGAGTGTGTGGTTCCACCACGGTGCTTGGAAATCGGGCCTCTTCCACAGTAGTACCGAATGCCTGCAGCCACGACCTCAGGATTTCCAACCCTGCTGAACCACAGTTGTGTCCCGGGTGCGGGCAGGATCCTGCAGGTGGTTCTCTAGTGCCCTCTAGCGGTTTTGGGTGCACGACAATGACGCCGCAGAAGCGCTCAGGCTGTGGCTCCCCACCCCCGACCTCAGGTGCCTCCCTCCCCAGAGACGTAACTGCCACACCACTGTGAACCCAGTGCTAGGCAGGATCCTCGGCACTCATATAAGAAGCGTGCTCTCCGGCGTTTGTTGTGGGATTCAGTACAAGAGTCACTTGGTTGTTCTCACAGACTCTCCATCCCCCAGCCTCACAAGGAGGGAAATTGATCCGTCCTAAAATGACTCTTCCTTGGTGACACAAGTCCTGCAGCAAGGAGATGGAGCTGCGTACAGACAGTGATAATGACCAGAAGCTTTGGAGGCTTATTTCTGAGAGGGATGTGTCGGGGCAATGCTGTCCACAGCCAGAACCGCAGACTCTAGGGTCCTGCTAGAACTCTAGACTCTAGGACTCGCAGACTCTAGGACTCTGCTGCCCTGTCCCTCTGCGGCCCAAGTTGTGCTCCAGGCCACTGGTGGGGGTGGTCCTGAAAGGCCAGGTGTAAGAACTGGGGGCTCAGAACTCAATGATTGGAAAGTGAAGGAGAGAGTAAAAGGGAACCAAGCAGGACTGCTGGTCACAAAGCTCTCAGAAGTTCTCATTGCATTTATTTATTTTTTGGTAGAGGGGATCAAACTCACAACTTTGCACTTGCCTGGCAGGCACTTACGCCCCTGAACTAAATCCCCAGCCCTCTCAGCAGTTCTACAAAGTGCCTGGTTGTGAGTTCAATCCCTGATACAAACAAACAAAAAAAAACCCTACCCAATGGGGTGTGGCATGTGAAACTTATGTGTCACTGGTTGAAGATGCACTTTGAAGTCTAAGGACACTTGGGACAGCGGCAGGCAGAATCCTGATATTGGAGAACTGAGCTCAACCCTAGACCAGGTTAGTGGTAAACTCTGCAGGCTGCAGGATTGGGGTCATTTCAAGAGGGGAAACATGGGTGATATGTCCCTTCTTGGTGGATCTTCCCTCCTAACTCAAAGAGAGCTGGGGGTTTTCTGGGAAGCCTGCAGGAAGACATTCAGCAGGGGGTGGAGGTCCAGGAAAAGGTCTGGGTTCAGTTAAAGAAGTTTGCAATATTTCACCAAAAGCCAGGGAAGGGCTCCCTGTCACTGGAATATATAAGCCAGACAGTTATTGTGAGGTTCCCGTGAATAGAGTTTTCATTTTTAACAATGCTGTGTGACGGCACCAGTGCTCTCTGGACGGAGGATCCAAGTCCATCATAAATTACTGCTTTTCAATGTAAAACAACACACAAAATCATCATTAATGGGTTTGCTACTCATGTGTGACTGAGTAGGCCTGTGCTTCTGCATTGATGTCTGTATGGCTATCAGGTGTTGGAGAAACCCAAATTCTGACACTGAGTCACTACTGACCCTAGGGCCCAGTCCATTCTGTTCCTTAACTAAACAATGAATGGATGTCAGGAAACCCCTATTACCTTCAGTAAAATGCAGCCCAGCTCCTGGGAAGGATTTGGATAGCAGTAGAGAGGAAATCTCTAGCCCAGGCCAGTATGGCCTGGAATCTGCAGCCCATACTTTGGTTCCTAGAGGTCACTTTCCCCTGTGGTGTTGTCTCCCAGTGAAAGGGCCTCAGAGGACCCTGCTGTTCTCTAGCTAGCTAAGGATTTCCGTGACTTGGAATAGCCAAAGGAAAATCAAGGCTGAGAGAGAATGGAACTGGATGCTCTGGTTACAAAGTGGCCTGAACCCACAGGCCACACCCCTCCCAGCTGCTCCTGCTTCATGTTCCCTTGCTCACAGAAGTCCAGAATTGCTCCCTCAAAGACAGGGCATACAAAGCAAGGCAAAAATACGGGGTGTCTAGCCCCGACCTGGCTAAGGCAGGCCTGTTTGCACCTGTGGACCTTATCAAAGTACCCTTCTTCCCAGTGATTGACCCTGGGGTGCCCATATCTTATTCTCAGGCCTCAACAGAATAACCCTCGCAGAATACAACATCCTAAACACAGCTCTTTGACCATGTTACCCACAGTGGGACCCATCCTAAAGGCAAACATTTGCAAAGAAATTTCCAACTTTACTTAGGAAGTTTGTTGATAGTATATCTGTGTATCAATTCTGAAACTATTCCATAGGATTGACCAGATAAGTAAATATTTTGATGTCAAAAGCCAAGGATCTCACTGTGGCAGAAGAGAGATACACATATGGAAAGAAAAGAGGCAAGCAACAAACCTGGTATGATTTTAACTACACATATTAGAGACAGATGACATAAGTGATAGGTAAGGAGGTAGATAAATACATAGACGAAAAGGGTCTAGAAGTAACAACATCCTAGATGCAGTGAGTGTATCAAGTCCCCAGCCCTTGGTTACTAAAAACACCCTTATCCACCAAGAACCAGGATTCCTGAGACAAATGGCTAATTCCAGTACAGGAGAAATGAAAACATAAAGAAAGTGTGACATATTTTGTGCCAAGAAATAAGAAAATGCTCCAAAAATTACAGGCCCATGTGGGGAAAAATAGGAAACAGGATGAGTGAATTTTCCACTGTTCAAATTTAGGGAGATTTGAATATCAAAAATAATCCTAGCAGTGAACTCTAAGACATTGAATGAAAAATTAGTGCAGGAGTCCGTAAATCAGTGGGAGGAAAAGGGAGCTGTTGTTTGCAGTAGAAGTTTAAGTACTCAGATGGAATGACAGAGTTAGCAAATCACCATTTTGCAACTTCCAAAGTAATGTGACTCAATAGGAATTCTCAATGGATGGTAAAGCCCCTGAATTACTGTGTGTGGAGGACAGGATATACACACACAGTCCCAAAAGAGCTCCCATCAATGATTAATTACAAAAAGAAAATGGTACCTTCCAAGTGGAGACTTCTGGCAGACAGCACCTCAAGCAGGTCACCACCCATAATGGAACAAAGGACCATCAAGTGGCCCAGATGTGAAGCAGTGAGGAGACAAAGACATTACTGATGCCTGCTTTCTGCCAAGAGTGCATAACAGCACATTCAGGCCATCCCAAATTGAGGAATAATCTGAGAAATAACTGAATGAGATTCTTTGGGAATTTCAATGACATGAAAGACTAAAGTACGTGGAGGAATTTTTTGAGACTAAAGGAGACCAGAGAGACACACAGGTAAATATAGTGCATGGTCCTGGAATGGATTCTGCTTTGGAAAAATCACATGCATCTTAAAGGATTTTGAAAATGGCTAGTATATTAGATAGTACTGTATACTATTATCAGTGTCGTAAAATTCTGGCCTTTGGTAAGTATATGTAATTATGTAAGACAATCTCCTCATTCTTAGGAAATACATGCTGAAATGCTTTAAGAATCAAGGAGATCTTTAACTTACTTTCAAATGGTTTGGAGAAACTAAATGCACAGTAGATAGAGTTTCATCCTCTGAGACATTTTCTGCTCTTGCCACCATCTGACTGGTTCTTTCCCAGAGTTTCCCAGTTAAATTCCTGAGAGGGAGAGAAAGTTTGGCTAGGATCTTCTGCTTTGCTCCTCTATGGGCAGAGCACTTTGTACTGAGAAACATTATAGATCTTGTAGCAGCCTCAAGATTGGCTGCCTGGAATCAGGTGCCTACCTCTCATCCAATCAGCTCAGACCCAGAATGGATCACGTGATACATAACATGGCTGCCACAACTGCTTCCACAGCGAAGGTGGTGGATGGGCAAAGACTTTAGAAGGGCTTTGTAGGCCCCATACTTGACTGTGCTAATATATCCTTTATCTCCAGCTGCCCAACTTAACTAAGGAGACCTCCAGACCTAACTTTTTAGTCTTTCAAGAAATCTTACAAATGTGTTCTCTATGCCAGATCATGTGCTAGGTCCCAGAGGCACAAAGCTGATCGAATCCTAACCCTTAGGAGCTCTGGCTCCAGTTGGGTAGGCATGAAGAATAGAACTGGAGTGCAGGGTTGAACTCCCACTAACAAACAGAAGGCACCCGACGCTAATGGGGCCCACGCCCCACTCCATGGATGCGTAAGGTGGGAGTGAAAAGTCTTCAGGGAGGTGGCACTTGCTGTGACTTATAGGAGGGGACAGGCCCTCACAGAGGGCCCCAGCTGCTGTGTGGCGCCGGTCCCATCCCTGGGGTTTCTGTTTTTTCTCTGTACAGCCGGATCCAGCAGGCCGGGACATCTCCATCCGCCCACTCCTGGAGCACTGTGAGAACACCCACATGACCATCTGGCTCGGCATCGTCTACGCCTACAAGGGGCTTCTCATGGTGGGTGCACGGCAGGCGGTAGAGATGGGGTCACTTCTCTGTTGGGCCTCTTTTTTCCTAGGGGCTCTCATCAACATAGAAATAAACAGAGCACCCATGACTAAGCACTTCCTCTCTGCCAGGGTGTTTCCTTCGTATGCCTTTTCAGGTCCTACAACAATCCTGTGAGATTGGTACATGCGATAGCCTCGTTTCCCTAGTAAGGACTCTGAAGCTTGGTGTCTTGCCAAGATCACTTGGCTAGGAAGGAGCAAGTCAAGATTTTAATAGAAAGTAACTCTGAAACCTCACAACTGTCAAGCCCTACTCCCAGGAACAGTCGTCTGTTGACATTCAACATGTATTCCTATCCCATAGTTCATTAGATGATTTCTGAATTTCTTGTACTGCCTACATGTATTCTTACCTACTGCTACTTCCCAGAACTGGAAGTTGTGACCCCATATCCTTCAAGGGGCCATACCACAGGGCATGTGTCAGGGTACCCTAGACTTCAAAAAAATTTCCCTCACTTCACCCCAGCTGAGACTCTCGTCATATCCAGAGAGGTCTTTCACACCTCCTATGGGAGCAACAGGATCACTGGCCTGCAATGTGGACTCCTCAGGGTAGTGATCCTACAGGTGTCCAAAGGAGGTGTCCAGAGGAGAATCCGGAGGTGGAAGATTAGCAAGACATCCTGGACGCAGACAGTAACACACACAGGGAACGTAGTCTCCAAAAACCTGGAAGAGCTGTCAGAGATGAGTAGCCCAGACCCAACAAGAAAAACAGAGTTTTGCTGCAGGGCAGACCTGAACTCTTTGTAAAGGATTAAGGACAAGCTCCTTGTCAAAAGAAACACGCTGAGTTGATGACTTGAGCTTCATCCAGCCCTTGTTGAATAAACAGAATGAAATTAGATTCCTTCCACAATCTTTCCAGCCTCCATGTGCTTGATTCTGAGACTCCATGAAATTAGATTATGATGAATCATTCACGCCTTTAAACTGGATTTATCTACCACATTTTCATCATTCATTATCTTCTTCCACCTACACCAGAAGTAGTTGGAGATGAGTACATCTCCAGTGAATGCCTTCAACTGGATCACATCAATAAAAGCTGTATCTGACAGCACACAAACCTTACCACCTACAGTGTATGCAAGGACCTTTCTGGACCTCAGGGTTCATGGTTAGAATCCCATCCCTTGCCCCTACCCCTTCTAATCAGGAAGTACAGAATCAAGCTGGAAAGAGAACACACACACACACACACACACACACACACACACACACACACACACATGTACCCTGGTAATACTGTCCCCAGCCAGTTGAGCATTCCCCCACCAGTGTCCATTCAATGCCTGCTTCCCTTGCTTTAGTGATGGAAACTCAGCACTTTCAAAGCAACTTGTGTCATCTGAGGTTGGTGTATTAGCTTCCTTTGGCCACTATAACAAATTATCACTATAAATTAGCTTAAAAACACATAAATGTATTCTTTCACAGCTCTGGAAGCCAGGAGGCCAGAACCAAGATAAAGTTGTGTTCCCTCTAAAAGTTTTAGGGAGAATCCTTTTAGCTTATTCCAATGAAGGTGACTGCAGACATCCCTTGGCTTGTTACTGCACCTGGCTTGTTACTCCAAGTGTCCTGTACTTTTCTCCAAATCCTTGCCACTGGATTTAGGAGCCATCTGTATAATCCAGGGTGATTTCATGGCAAGATCTTTAATTAAACTGGCAAAGACACCTTTTCCCAATAAGGTCACATTCACAGTTTTCAGAGATAATAATGTGGACAAATCTGTTAGAGCCACCATTCAACCCATTAGAGATGAGTTACTTTGTTAGAAAGTTCTTCCTTACCTCAGTGTAATTCATGCCCACAAATCCCCTGAAAAGTCTAGGAACACCTTACTCTGTCTCCTGCTATCATCCTGGCACACTTTGGATATCTACAACCAATTCCCAGATCCCAGATGTGCCTAACTTTTGTGACTGGTAGAGATTCACATAGGTTGGGTGGCACATCAGCCCAGAAGGATACATTAACTCCCTGCCAGAAGGTTCGCATCTCAGGCACCATCTGTCCCTGACACTCACTGCTGTGGGTTCCCAGGCAAGTGCCATCACCTGGCCAGGCCCCCATTCTCTGTCTGTGAGGTGGCCCTGCAGGGGTCCCATGGGAGAAGCCAGTTCAAGGCAGGCTGTCAACAGCCAATGGCAGGGAGCCATTACTTGGTATCTGATTCCTGGGCTGCTGGTTCCTTATTTAAAGAAATTTTCTTAAAAAGAATAAAGCAGGTTGCAAATGTTTAGAAAAAAAGATAAAAGACAAGGAGAGGAAGACAACTATGGTGTATAAAATAATATTTATCACAAAATAGATCTTAACTCACTTTTGTACTAGATATTATAGTTTACAAAGTGCTTCCAGATGCATCCTCTTGCTTCATCTGAACAAGAGCAAGTGTGGGACAGGTGGCATGATATTCCCCACTTCACAGACATTGAAAATGAGGTCCTCATTTGATCAAAACACATTATACACATCGAATCCCCCCAGAAAATGTGGAGCTGGGAGGTTGGATGAGCAAAGGGCTGGTGAGGAAATGGTTACACATGCTCTGCGCATGTGCCAATCTGCCAAAATTAAACCCATTAAACCCGATATGCACTAATAAAAAGATGGGGGAAAATAAAGAAAGTGAGAGGTGAGATGGCTCGCCCAAAGTCACAGAGCCAATGCGAAGCAGAGCACATTCCAGATCTTCTGGGTGGCCATTTCCCTTTCCAGTAAATCAGCTCCAGAGGCAAGCCATGCAGGGCTGGCACAGGGGCTCCTGGGCTCCTCATTTCCTGTTGCCCCACATCTCACCAAAAACAGCTTCTACTCCACAGTTTAAGACAGCTGCTGCAGCTCCACCCACCGTGTTGCACTCCAGCTGTTGAGAGGAAATGCAAGATCCCTTCCCTTTAAAGACCTCCCAGAACCTCTCTACATTTCCTCTTTGGGGTCATTATTCAGGACCCAATCTTATGCCACACTTAACTTTCAAGGAAGTTGGGAAATGTGGCTTTCATTTTGAGTGCTCTGCACATTGGGGGTTAATAGAAGCCCTAGTCACAAGGTTTTTGTTTGGTTTAATAGCAAAAAGGACTAGTCTGGACCTCTAGAGACAGAGTTCTCTTTTGCCAGCATATTTCTCACTGGGCCAGTGTCCTCTAGAGAGTGAGAGGAAGTTGTCAAGATCTTATAGGGTTTTCCTTCCCACTGTGTCCTCCAATGAGCCTGTGCATGAACCAGATGTGGAAGCAAAAACGAACCAGGCAGCTGTCACACACCCCCAGTCTGCTCTTCTTTTGTGGGATACAACTCAGGACCATGAGTGGAGACATGAAAAGACAGAAGACTTGGCTGAGAAGAAAGCTCCAGCCTGCCTCCCCAGCCCCTACTTCTGAGCAGCCCTCCATGCAGCAGCTTTTTGGAGCAGCGAGCGTGTGCCACCACTTGGTAATGACAATCTCCTCCTTTCTGTTCACCATTTCAGTTGTTCGGTTGTTTCTTAGCTTGGGAGACCCGTAACGTCAGCATCCCTGCACTCAATGACAGCAAGTACATTGGAATGAGCGTCTACAATGTGGGGATCATGTGTATCATTGGGGCCGCTGTCTCCTTCCTAACCCGGGATCAGCCCAACGTGCAGTTCTGCATCGTGGCCCTGGTCATCATCTTCTGCAGCACCATCACTCTCTGCCTGGTGTTTGTGCCAAAGGTACCAGTCCTGTGGCCTCTGACTCCATTGCAAGGGTGTTGTTAGGATTTCTTTCTGAAGTTCTATGCATTCTTATCGCATGATGATGATGACTACATCATTCCATTTTTCAGATACTATAATGAAATACCTGGGGCTAGCTAGCTTTACAAAGAAAAGAAGTTGATTTAGAACACAGTTCTGGAGGTTTAAGGGTGTGGTGCCAGCACTAGCTAAGCTCTGGTAAAGCTCTCCCACCAGATGGTATCACAACAGTAGAAGGGCATGTGAAGGAAGAGATCAGATCTTGAGTCAAGACGCCAAGGAGCAGTTCAGGGGCACGGCTCACACTTGTAACTCACTCTCCCAGTTTGGTTCCATGAGAACTGCCCTAATCTCTTCCAAGGACAAGCCCCCAATAACCTAAAGACCTCTCACAAAGCCCACCTCTTAAAGTCCCACATCTCACCACCACCACACTGAGAACACATGAACCCATGTGGGACACACTTAAAACTCACGGTGACAAGACACACTTTAGATGGTTTAGAAACTGCAGAGAAAAGTTAGGTTTTCAGAAACTTCATAATCCTAATGATCCAAAATTAGCAAAAACTACTGTTTGCTTGGCCATTTTTCTCTGTAACGTGGTTTTATCTTTCTTTCTTTATTTGGTATGTTGTCTGCCAGTGTTCCTATATTTTAAATGCTAGGAGGTGACATTTTTTAAGATATGGCTATAACTGTATCACATATATTATTTCATAGTTTGCCTCTTTCATTTAAAATTTTTGTCTTCTGTATTATAAGTGAATTTTTTCCTACATAATTTTTTCCTTGTTTTTAAAAATTATTCCCTCAAGGTAAAATCAAAGTAGTGGTATTATCAGGGCAAAAGGGATAACCATTTTTAATACCCACTTACATTTTCCATTTATTAGAAGGGCTGCCCTATAGGACCACCTTTTTCAAACATCATCCTACCCAGCAGTGAGCAAATGAACCAGAGGCCTTGGCCTGTAGGACTCCTGGCGATGAGGGTTTGCGTAGCTAGGAAATCCTGACCTCACTGGGTCTCAAGGGTGAAGGAAGAGACAGGGAGTTATTATGCACCTGAGGGGCATCTGCTACAGAAAAGGAGAGGAGGAGAGATCACCCAGGGCTCGTTAGGGAAAGAGGCTCCATCCCTTGGGCCCATGAGCTGTTTATCCCAAAGCCTGGCCTCGGAACCTTGGTCATAGACATCATTTGTCCTCCAGTTGTCCACACCTGCCCCAGCTCCAGGCCTGTCTGCACTGTGGCACTCTCCATGCTGTAAAAGATGTCGGATGGTTCTCTAAGCCCAGCTCTGACTGTTTCACTCTGCTGTTTCACCCTCTCTAGCCCTTCGTTGCCCTTCCAGCTCCATGACTGAGTCCTGGTGTTGACCTTGCCTTTAGACCTTGAGGTTCCTCCAGTACCCCGTCCACCATCCTAACTGCCCTTCCTCCTCAGGCCCTGAACCCATGGCATTTGCCATATCTTTGCCCTAAGATTCCTCTCCCACCACCACCCTTCCAGATCTCCCACAGAATCCAGCCAGGCCACAGCACCTGGTGGCACTCTGCCCTTTGGGCCAGCTGCAGATTACCTCCTCCTTCATCTGTACCCTGCACCTCTGGACTGTGAGCTCCTGGTGGACAGAAGCCATGGCCCTCTCAGCTCATGTTTTCCAGTGCTGAGCCTCAGCCTGCCACGGATCAGAAATGTTTCTAGAATAAATAGGTACAGTCAGGGTCAAGTAGCAGCTTTTTATCATATAGTTTAAAATGCCTTTGGCTATAGCTAAACTATCGGCTCCGATGCCCCAAAACTGTAGGATAGTAAATGTTGTAGCAGAGTTTAAGCTGCCAAAACAAAAAGCTATCTTTGCCAGTAACAGAGCTAGTTGCCAGCCTGCCAACCAAACCTGTAGGGTTCTAACATAGGCCTTCACTGTCCTCTACAGCACTGTCCTAGCAGTTAGGCCCTTCAGGTCATTTTCCACAGGGAGCAAGTCTAAGGCAGTGCTAGAGCTCAGCTTGAGGGCCCGGGTGGTCTCTGCCCAGTGACTGAGAATGCAGGTGGAGGCAGGATCAGGATACCTACTCCACTGGCCAGGAAAGACACAGGCTCAGCAGGAAGAAAGGAACAGCACAAGGTCACACCAAGCCAGTGGCAGAGCCTGGCCTGGACACAGGCTCCTGCCCCCTGTCCTGCATCCTCTCTGGGGAGCTTGTTGCCTCCAGTTCCGGACCTGCTGGGGAGGTGGGATGGGAGAGGGGATGCAGTGGTCTCTCTTCAAGGCCACTTTTGTCCTTTCAGCTCATCACTTTGAGAACAAACCCAGATGCAGCAACTCAGAACAAGCGACTCCAGATCACTCGGAATCAGAAGAAGGAAGACTCAAAAACATCCACCTCCGTCACCAGTGTCAACCAGGCAAGCACGTCCCGCCTGGAGGGTCTGCAGTCAGAAAACCATCGCTTGCGAATGAAGATCACAGAAGTACGTCCTCCTCTTGGGTCCCTCTGAGATAGCTTTGGGGCTGCTGTTCCATCACATTCCTCCCCTTTGCTGTCCTTAAAGCTGCAGGCATTGGGGTACCATGAATCAGGTAGCAGCAGTTTGTCAGATTGGACAAGAGTCTATTGCCCACGTCAAACCAGATTCTGAACTTCCTACTCCAGGGAAGAGACCCCAGATTCTCTCCCTGTCCTCACTTTGCCTTAGGGCCAGGGGCTTGACCAGACCAGCAGTCTGTGGGCTATGTGCCCTTTTCATAGGGCATGCCATGTCAGTGAAAGGGCAGGAAAGGAACAAAGCCAAATAGTGGGTAGGACTGTGGCTAAGTTGAAGTAACAAAGGATCCAACATAAAGGGGACCAAAGAAAGTGTTTATTTCTGTCTCCCCTAATGATCCTGAGGTGACAGGTCCTCGTGGTCATTGCTGGACTGGGTTCTTCCTCTCAGTTTTCTGCCACTCCCCAGGTAAGTGTGGGTGGAAAACATCCTAGTATCAGACTCTAAAAGGGTAAAGCAGGAAGTTCACTTGCCTTTTAAGCAAATGACAAAAAATTTGCATACCTTTTGGTCCTGATCCAGTCACAGTGACAAGAACATACAGCAGCACCATTCAGCAGCAGAGGAGACCAAGAAATATATCCTCTCGCTGCAGGGAAGAGGTGAGATGTAGGATTGCCACATTACATACAGGATACCCAGTAAAATTTGAATTTCATATAAACAACCAATTATAGTTTCAGGATAACAATATCCTATAAAATATCTGGGATGTGATTAATGCTGGGGAAAAAAAGGACTTCCTGTTATTTGAAATTCTGTACTTTTATTTGCTAGCTCTGGCATCCTTTTGGGTGGCCTCTGACAGCAGGACATGGTTGTGTGTGTACCTGTAATGCCTGCTGTAGCACAGGGCAGCCCACCCCCAGCCTCTAGGGCAAAGCTGGAAAGCTTGCTGTCCCGCCAAGCCCATTGCCAATTCCATTTCAGTGCTGGAGCTCTCCGTGATGAATATCTCTATGCCCTGACATTGTACTTCTGCTTGTATGCTCCAGCAATGACGAATTCATTCACTTTAGGAAACCCAAGCCATTGCTTAAAAACACTACAATATGGGGTAGTTTTTCCTGGAATTGAATCACAGTCTGACCTCTTGCTGCTCTGACCCTTAGATTTGAGTCTCACAAAAAATAAATAAACAATATCTCCTTCTGCACATGAAAACTTACTACACAATAGCTGTGCTCCTGACATCAGAACAGCACTGTAGATTTTCTAAAGTCTTCTCCCTTAGGATGGTCATTACCTAAACTACCACTGCTCCCCACCAAAACATGCACTCCCCTGGCTTCTCTGGAACTCAATGGCCCAGGACTTGCTCCTGATTTTTGTGTAACTCGGCATGGCTGGACCTGTTCAGATTAACTCATTCATATGAGCCTTGGAGCCTGGGCCCCATGACAGTTGAGGATGGCCAGCTCTGCACCGGGGGTCCTGTTAGGGACCAATGATAATTATGATAGTCATGATGCTGTAGTATCAGGGCTGGTTTCCCATGCATCATTTGATTTAATCTTCACAACTCTCTCACAAAATGGGACTATGTTGACCCAGCCTATGGATAAAGAAACAGATTTACAGCATGGGGCCACCTGGGGTTTGCCCATAGGCCTGTCCAACTCCACAGCCTGAGCTTTTCCCATCACCATCCTCCCCCAGGGCCCCACCTCCCCTGGATATCCTGCCTTCCTGAATGCCCTGCCTGTGTGGGCTTGCTTGACTCTTCCATCAAGGCTCAAGCCCACATGGGCCACATAACTGCCAGAACTAGATGCTTCTCATCATGGCTTCTACCTAAATAAAAACATCAGGTCCTCTTGCATCTCCTCACCAAGATGCAGGGGCCCAGCTCCCATCTTGGTTCTGAGCTGAGCTGCTAGTGCTGGACAGGGAGTGGGCAGGAGCTGGGTGGACTCAACCTAAGCCACAGCCTTGTCTTCCAGTTGGATAAGGACTTGGAAGAAGTCACTATGCAACTGCAAGACACACCAGAAAAGACCACCTACATTAAACAGAACCACTACCAGGAACTCAACGACATCCTCAATCTGGGGAACTTCACGGAGAGCACAGGTGAGAAGGGGGGGGGGGCTGAACATGGAGACCTGGCTTTCAAATGCCAGCTCCATATTGTCCCCAGAGAGGACTAGAGCCTGGTCTGAAGTCACATGCGCAGAGCTAGAGCACCTGGGACCCTGTCTACTGACCAGAGTGCAGGGCCTGCTGGGTCTCCTCTGTCTGGACCTGTGCTCCTGTTCCTCGTCCTGCAGGGCCAGGTCTGTAAGTACATGACATGGCCAGTTTTCTCCATGTACTAAGTGTTGGGTTTTTTGGCATCGTAGAAAAACAAAGGCAGAAAAGGAAAAGGCTTTTATTGCAGGCACTAGAGGGCTACAGATTCCTCTGAAACAAAGAAGCCATCAAGTGTTCATTAGGTTTGACAAGGGGTGGAGTCTAAAGGGGTGGACAGAATGACATATTGACAGCTGGTTGGGGAGACGCTGACACGTGGGCAAAAAGCAGAAAATTCGATTCGGGCTTGGAAGAAGAACATGAAATCAGGATTGCAGGGACATACTGTCATTTTTGGGTCCAGTACCATGTTGGGCAAATGCCATTATTAAGTATGGTTTTTAAAAATCAATGAACCAAGCCAAAAATATTTTACCTCAGAAAAAAGTTTACACCCTTAGGGCAAGATTATATGTAATATATACAAATATTCATAATTATATGCCATTAGTTGGGGAGAAAAAAGAAAGACCAACAAGCCAAAAGAAAATAAGCAAAAGAACATTCTGCCCTACAAAAGCAATTATTTCACTTGTGAAAACATGCTCAATCTCACTATATATTAGAGCAACACAAATTACATCTGCAGTGTGATGCCCTTCCCACCTGAAGACTGGTAAAGATCCAAGATCAAAGAGTTGCTAGGAGAGCAGGGAAACCCAGAGGGAAAGGCGTCCTCAAACACAGCTGGTCCAGTAGAACTGTTCTAACCCAGCACTTCCACCATCGGAATTTATTCTCTGTGTCATTTATGTTTGTGCTGCTATGACAAAATATCACAAACCAGGTGATGTGTAAGCAACAGAAATTTATTTCTCATCGTTTTAAAGACCAGCAGCCCAAAATCAAAGCACTAGTAGCCAGGGCCTACTCTCTGCTTTGAGGTGGTACCTGGAAGATGGCCTCCCCAGGTGGGAGGAGCTCCGTGTCCCTACATGGTGGGAGGGACATAAGAGCACAAATCCTCTCCCGTGGTAACTTTCATAAGGGGCCCAATCCACCCAGTGAGGACTCACTCTCATAACATAGTCACCTCCTAGAAACCCCGCCTCTTAATGCACGTTGGCCTTAAAATTTCAATGCGTGAGTCTGGGCTGGCGCATTCAGAACACAACATCCTGGACACACAGTCAGTTCTCATCACTCCGGGAAGACAGTGGTTATGCTCTGTGAGTCACGTGAACAGTGAAAGAGCGAACACTGAATAAGTATTCCTAGGGGAACTTCAGGGCTAGGTTCCTGTCACCCTTTCAAGTTTTTCGACCAATCAGTACCTTATCTTGTTTTATGTATATTTCTGCTTAAAAACACCCCATTCAATAAACCTTGTTGGTTTGCTATTATTGAATTCATGGTCAACAGCTGTTATTCATGATTGATGGCAGCTTATCTAACACATGCATTTTCTCTGCAAGGTAGAGTACAGCCTTGGGAAACCTCAGACAGCACCTTAGCACTACACTTAGGGGCCATTTCAAACAGCAAAGTGACCGACAGAAAGCACAAAAATGTGGAAAAACTTGTTACTAAACAGACCGCAGAAAAGATTCTTATTTATAGTATGTGAGCTGAAGAGAAAGGCAGAGCATTACCTTAACTGGGAGCGTGTGCAGCAGGCCACTCAAATTTTTCAGTACGCTATGCAAGTCAGCAGATGAATACAGAAGCAAAAATCACTGTGAGTATTGAATTGGGGCTCCCAAATAAATTTTAGCAAGTAGATAATTTTGCATATATAGAATCTTTGCACAATGAAGTGCCCAACCAGGTACACAATGACATACTTATAAAGTTGCCTGCGGCAGCGAAAACAAAACAAAACACCAGTGCTCCTCTTCTGACAAAGTGAATCCAGATCTCTCAGGTGAAGCCAGGTTTTCATATTTCTGTAAATGTACCTAGATGTTTCTAAAGCCCAAAGAAAGTAAAGGAGATGTACATCACCCTACTTGGTGGCTATGCAATATTCCTTTAATGAATAACCCAGAAATTATGTAACTGATCCATTATACTGGGCTGATCCATACTAGTTCTTTTGATATAAATGATGCTGAACTGAACATCTTGTATATATCTTAACACGTATCCTTGATTATAATTTTCCCTAGGACAATCCTCAAAAGTAGACATTCTATGTAGAAAATATGCACTTTTTAGGTATATAGTACATACTGATAGTTCCCCCAGTAAAGTTATGTCAATATATACTCCTGCCAGCAGTTTACTATTAATCTCTTTTTTTTTTTTTTTTTTTTTTTTTTTTGTCTTTTTGAGACAGGGTCTCCCTATGCAGTTCAGGCTGGCCTTGAGCTCACTTTGTAGCCCAGGCTGGTCTCGAACTCGCAACAATCCTCCTGCCTCAGCCTCCCAAGTGCTGGGATTACAATCCTGAGCCACCACACCCGGCTACTATTAATCATTTTAATTTTTACTAAGCTTATAAAAAACATACTGTGGAGGATTTTTTTTCTCTGTCATTACATTCTTATGCACCAAAGAGAAGAGTTTAGTGTAAGAATCTTTCATTTCTAGGTTACGTTGTCTGTATTATTGACTTGCCTCCACCCCCCTACCCCACCCCCGCCTTTTCTCTCAGAGACACAGGGCGGGGGCAGGTCCCTCACTTCCCTGTCACACTTCTGCCCTCTCTGGACAGGGGCTGCTCAGGTCCCTGGCATGGTTTCTGAAGGGCTGTGACATAGACCCCAGCTCAGAAAATTCGGAGAGATGATGGGCTATTTTGCATTCTCTCCTGAAGTTTGCATTGTTGATTCTTAAAACTAAGTTAACAGAATTTGTTGTGATATTGTTGTTTCACACTCAGATGGGGGGAAGGCCATTTTAAAAAATCACCTTGATCAAAATCCCCAGCTACAGTGGAACACAGCAGAGCCCTCTCGAACATGCAAAGATCCCATAGAAGATATCAACTCCCCAGAACAGTAAGTACCTTGAGAAGAACCACCAAGGATTATGTTAATCTGCACAACTGTTTACAACCCCACTATGTTTTCATACTCTTATTTTAATCTCTATAGCAATCCCATAATACAGCCAGATTACAATACTCTCTACAGGTGAGAAAACTAATTTTAAAAAGGGGAGATGGGTTGTTAAGCTCACCTGCTTGCTAAGTGCAGAGGGTGGAATTCAAAGTCTGCTCCATCGAGCATCAAATCCAGCATTCTCCCCTGTGGCGTGATGCCACTGTCACGTATAAAATGTAACCTTGCTAAATGCATTCATTTTATAATTACTGAAACCTGTGAGTCTCTTTCTTCCATTCTATCAGATAAGATAATAACTTAATTAAAAGGCAATACTTAGTATATTAAATGACAGCTGCTTTGGAGGAAAACAAAGCAGAGAAGGGGTTTGGGGAGTGTCATTTTAAATAGGGCAGTCACCAAGGAGAAGGTAACATCTAAGCAAAGTCAGCTTTTTTCTCTCTGGCAGTTTCAGCTCTGCCCATCTTACAGCAGACTGGAAGCAAAGGTCAGACATGTAAACCTGAAACTTGATCTCTGGGCAGTGACAAGCTGAGGGGAAGGCAGCCAAGTCACCAGCTTCCCATGGTATAAAAGCTAATGGCCTGCTGACCCAGTTAGCCCTAAGACTAGCCACCTTGCAGACCAGAGAGCCATGACTCATGGTCACTTGGCTTTTGTCTGCAGTTTCCCAATCAGCTGCCTCCACTGGAGTATAAAAAGCACCTTCAGAGTGAGGTCTGAATCCCTGTGCATCGCCTGAAGGAAACCCAAGTTCCAGAATTAAGCTCTTGGAAAGTACTGTAGGCGTTGAGCAGTATCCTAATGCAGAATCCTATGGTTCAGACAACCACAAGATACAGAGCCACCTTGCAGAGGCAGAGGGCCATGCTTGGACAGGGCCCCTTTCACCTGTTCTTTACCCTTTTCTTGGAACTCTTGGCCAACACCACTGTCCTAAAGAACAGGGCTTGGGGAGAGAAGGTAGAAGATTCACCAGGAGAGTCCAGAGAGAAACAGATCTCAGGGAGCTCAGAAGGCCACAGCAAAGCATGTCCTCTTTTCCCTTTCGTGGCTTTCTGTGTTGGAAAGATAATACTAGTTGCTAAAGAAGCTGAAAGACCAGGAAGCGGCGTAGTGGAAGGGGCAAGGTGCTGAGCAAGGTCGTGGCAGAAGGGATTGAGGAGGGAATAAGTAACCAGGATGCCTTTTGGGGTGAAAAGAAAGCATATCTGTTCTGAAGCCGGTAAGGTTAGGGGATGGGAAATGTCTGTGTTCGCAGCAAACCCCCATTATGAGGGCAAACAAAACAACAAAACCTTTTCCCATGTATTACTGACATGACAGTTATAATAATCACCAAACCCTGGACTGGAGGCTCCAGAACACTGAGTCCTCATTGCTCAGTCCAGTCTCCCTGCTTATCCCCAGGGTACCCACAGGCCTTCCTTAAATACCCATTAGATGGCTAAATGATTAGATGTTTGAATAGCCAGATATTGGATTCAGAGAAGACTAGGCTCCTAGGATCTGCTTCTTTTAATCAAAGTGAGCCCACAGAACCTTCTGGAGAGCAGAGAAATGACCTCACTAATGCCCTCCTTTCTTTTCCCAGCATCCAGCGCCGGCTATCCCTTCAGCTCCCCATCCTCCACCATGCCTACCTTCCGTCCATTGGAGGGGTGGACGCCAGCTGTGTCAGCCCCTGCGTGAGCCCCACCGCCAGCCCCCGCCACAGACATGTGCCACCTTCCTTCCGAGTCATGGTCTCGGGCCTGTAAAGGTGGGAGGCCTGGGGCCAGGGCCTCCCCGCAATGGCGTCGTGCGGGGCATGATATCTGCTGCAGGCACTGTTGGCTCCGGCCACGGAGAACTTGGGCACTGCGGCTGCCTCTCAGGACTGCTTGGATGGCATTGGGTGGACAGGATGGGGAACTTGGCCCCTGACCTCGAGCCTTATTTGTGAAGTTCTTATTCTTTCACAAAGAAGAGGAATGGAAATGACTTCTTCCTGAATGTCTGCAAACAAGGAGGAGCTGGGATATTGGAAACCTGCAAAAAACAAACAAAAAGTTCTCGACAAGGAGAGAGGCCTAGAACTCCAGCTAGACTCCCCGAGTTGAGCAGCCTCGGGAAGAGGCAAGGGCTCTGGAGAAATGGCCTCTGCACTCTGCACACACATCACAGGCTGCGGTCCCCCCGCCAGCCCTTCTGCACTCTGGGGGAGAAGATGAGCGGGGCTGCCAGGTCCCCCAGGGCCAGCCCGACACTCCCAGCCTCCCTGGGACAGGGGTCCACAGGACTGATGGACAGGTGCAGCCCTGCACGGGGGGGCCCCCAAGCAGGCGGACTCGCATGCTCACAGGGGACTTCCATCACCTGAATGAGATGTTTGTTATTCTCTGATAAATGCCACACATTAACACAATAACACCCGATCCGATCCGGGGACTGTGGGGATTTAGGGCATGTCACCGCAGGCACCCTCTGCGGCGTTTTCATGCACACGCCGCATTGGCCATGTCCTTGTGTTCCTGTGGAGTGTTCCCAGTAATAAGGGGGACCACCGAGCTAACCACAGAACGTCTGTTCCCAGCAAACATGAGAAAGAAAGATTGTGCACTTTAACTTTCCCATCAGGGCCCAAGGGCTGGCTGGGATTTATTTTTATTTTTATTTTTATTTGTGTTGCCACTGACTTTGTTTCTGACCAAAGTGAATTGGGGGCATTCTGCTAAAAGACATCCTGATGTCTTAGGGGAGGGAGTTGCTGGCTGAGGGCTTCCCTTGCCTTCTGGAGCAACCTTCCATCCAGAGGAGCCCGCAAGCTCTCGCCTCTGGAGAGGGGAGTGTCACAGGGGCAATCAGTCTGCAACTGATCCTCATTCATAAGATCACTGTTCCTTTCTAATTGAACCCCAAAGAGCACCGGCCCTGGAGTCAGAAAGACCTGGGTTCAATTCCCCTCCAGCTCCCTGTGTGACTTTGGGCAAGTCACTAGTGTCTCTGTAAGCCTCAGTTTCCCCTCTGTAACAGATTGGGGTTGAAACAACACCCATCCTGCCTACCTCACAGGATCACTCTGAGGATTGAAACTTGATCTCATGCTGGAAAGCTTTGTCCCAAACAGTGAAGCAGCCCTGACCCATGAGGTATTAGAGTGACAATGAGCTTCAGCCTTCACTACAGCCTGGGCAGGTGGCCCAGAGAAGCTTCCAGCACAGTCCTCTCCCCGGAACAGCTGGGCAGGAGGGAGGCTCCCAATGACTTTTCTGACACTCCTAGACAGGTTCATTCTTTGCTAAAGAGAGGCCTGAATGACATGTCCAGGACGTCTGCACAACTGAGCAGTTCGCTCACTCCCTGAAGAATCTTAATGGCAGCTTCAACAGGCAGGCAATAATCTCTTCCCCGAACTACTGCTGTCAGGAGTACTCTGTTGTTTCCACCAGGCTTTGACGAAAGGGCCCACGGGAATCACCATCGCCAACATTTCAAAACACCCGAGTTCACGTAGCGTAGTCTTCCCCTCCCCTCCTTGAAGAGAGGTTCCTGAGGTACTGTAGCTTTTAGGGGGAAAAATGTTAACACATCACGAATCATGTTGAAGTCCTTCTCTGTTTAGGCACTAAAAATCGTATTGTCACTCAGTGTGTATTACCAGTATTTACTTGCTTTCTTGATTTCACCAAAACCGAATTTAATTTAAGGGATCACATTAATTTTTCAAAGGGAAAGAGATAATTAATTGTACATAATGTATACACACACAAAAATACCTGTAGAAATACTATTCCAACATAGCAGGAAAACAAACAAACAAAGTATTGGACTGTCGGAGGTGAGCGTGCGTCTGTAACCCTTTGTGACTCCAAAAACGTGCTCCGTCTTCTAGGTTAACCCACAGAGTACATTCTGTCTTACTGATCCTGTAGGCTCACCCGTTTTGTTTTTTAATTTCCCGCAAATAACAAGACCCACAGAGGTGACTCTAGCTATTTAAAGGTTCTGTTCTTTTATATGCAACCACCACACTGTCCATTTCCAAGAGGCTTTGGCCTGAAGGCATTTTCCAATGATGTTAGTGCACAACTGCTTTAAATTAGACTGGAACTGCCAGAATCAAATGTAAATGAGGAATTTCTCCTTCCCCTACTGCATGGTATCAATTTTTAATAAATTGTTGCAAATTTGTTTTTATGAATAAAAGGAAAAAACTCTCGTCTCTAATGCCTACTCTTCCCCAAATGGAGGTTGAATGGGGCCATATTTTTACTCTGCTCCGCAAACTCGGGGGATTGTTCTGGGGTTGCCTGCTCCTTTAGGCCCTGTCCTCACTGGCTTCTGCTGACGATTATCAGGGCAACTCTGTGAACATGTAACTGCAACTTCTGATTCATGAAGGGGTGTGAGGCTGACCTAACTGTGGGCCAGTAATCCCTTCTCCAAAATTCCTCCATATAAAGTTAGCCTTCCACACAAAAGAAAAATGGAGCCAACCAAGAGAGAATTGAGATGGTGTCCAAGTCTCTGGTAGGTCAACAGCGTCCTGGGCTTCCTCACCTGCTGATTCAGGCCTTCCTCAGATTCTCTGTTCACCCCTAAATTGTCCTTCCTGCAGGGATTAGTTCAAATTGGGTTCCACCCTTGCAACCCAAAGGGCCTTGACTAACATGGAAAACTCTGTCTTCCGGCCCAAACTCCCACTCCAGGCCTTCGCAGCCCGTTGAGATTGGCCTGTGCTCCTTCCCAGGTTCATCACCCCCTCCACCTGCATCCCTGGTGCCACCCAAGGGCTGGAGGCACTTCCTCCATCATGCTGTGCCCTCAGTCAACAGTTCTGCCTCATCGCTCTAGGTAACCCAGCAGGAAATGCTCTCTTGGCCCTTTCTGGGTTGAAGATGCTGCCTGCTCTCATGGCACTGGGTACGTGACAGCCCAACCGGCACTATGAGTTCCCTATAGAAGGGACTCATAGCTGTTTGCCTGCTGTTCACTGTGTCTCAGAGCAGCTTGTGTGGAGGCTTTGCAGAACTGAACATTATGGCACTATGTGGATCTGGAAGACAAAGAAAGGACAAAGGCCAAAATGGGTATGAGCCTCAGGAATGGGGGAACAGACCCAGACTTCATAGGACTCTGTCCCCAGGTTGGAGTTTTCCACTGCACAGAATCATCTCTAATGGAGCCTCCTGAATCCCAGGCCCACCAAGAAAGCGCCCCTACATGTCTGCTACTCCATACCTCCTCTTCTACAGCCTTGCCACATGATCTGGGGTGTTTTAGGCTAGCAGAGAGTCCCAAAGCAGAGGGAAGACTCACCCAAGGCCTATTAATGAGACCACAGCAAATGCACAAACACAAACTGAAGCCATCTTTAGACAGAAGACAGACAGTATGGGAAACTGTCTGGCTTTAGGCTCATGGCAGACAAGGTGCCTTGGAGACCACAAGAGAATCACAGTTCTCATCAGTCTTCCTTTTCTGTCTGATCTAGACTATTAGAAATTAGGGCAAAGAAGAATTATAGAGACATCCAATCCCTCATGGTACAGGTGGGGAAACTGAGGCCCAGTGACAAGAGCCAAGGTCAACCAGAAAGTCATGAGATGGTAGGTGTTACATTTTATATCTACATGTCTCCCTGAAGCCTCATGCACTCACAGGTGGGACTTTCCAAAACTGACTAAATCTAGGCTGCATGATACTTGGATTAAGGGGGTAGGGTACTGGATTAGTCTATTAATTGGCTTATCACAGTTCTGGGTATGGATAATGGAAGGCCCACTCTGAGTGTGGGTGGCACTGTCTAAAAGGCTTATAGCCTGGATAAAAGAGAAAAGGAAGCTGCTGCTTGCTGCTTTACTGCCTTGGTGCCTGCCCTGCCATGGACTGTTTCTCATCTGTCATGGTGCCCTACCTTGGAATCAGGCTGTGGACTGAAACCTCTACAAACTGTGAGCCAAAATAAACCTTTCCTCCTGTTACTTGTGGGTATCAGATATTTTGGCCCAAGAAACTAACCAAGATACGAGGCCTAGCACCCAGATGTCTTGGCTTTGAGACTCTGGCTGTTTTCTGTGGAGTCTCCTTCCTCATATTTGACCCAGAACTATAGGCAGAAGATACCTCACACTGAAGCCATTTTGAGACAAGAAATAGACAGTATTAGAAACTTTGTGGCCTTAGGTTCATGGCAGACAGGATGCCTTGGAGACCACAAGAGGGTCCTACTGTCACCATACTTCCTTGACACCCAGCATGAGCCTAAAACACATGTTCCTGCTCTTATCTGACTTCCTGGACATCCTGGATGAGCCCAAGGAGCATGTGGTCTAACAACTCTAGAGTAACCAAGGGAATCCCCACACTATCTCTAGAGTAACCAAGGGAATCCCCATAGTATCTTTAGCACTAAGGTTTTGATTCCCTGGTGGGCTCTGGAAGCCATGCTGATCATGTGTATTTCCGGTGAAGTTAAAAAATTCCCCCTCCCAAGGTAGGTTCAGCCCCAGAGTTACATGGAAAGAAGCCTAGTTGCCACTCAACCACTCCTCAAATTTTAGGAAAGCAAAGGGAAAGCCAATCCTGGAACCTGCTGTGATCACCATCTCTGAGCTCTGCCCACCCTCTGTATTTTTTATTTGTTTTTTTGGTATCAGGAATTGAACTCAGGACCTTTTGCTTGCCAGGCAGGTGCTGTGCCACTGAGCTATATCCCCAGCCCTATTTGTTTTTGATGGTTTGGTTTGGTTTGGTTTGGTTTGGTTTGGTTTGGTTTGGTTTTGAAAGAGGGCCTCACTATATAGTCCAGGCGGCCATGAACTCACTGTGTAGTTCAGGCTGGCCTCGAATTAGCAGTGATTTTCTGTCTCAGCCTCCTGAGGCATGTGCCACCACACCCAGCCTGACCTCTTCTGGAAGATGTACTTCCATTACTGGCTGTTGCCATCTCTGGGTGCTATCCATTGGGAACTCTCCAAAGTGTACTTTAACCTCAAACCTAACACAGACCAGGCCACCATGAGTCAAGATTGCTCTTGGGCTTACTCATCAGCCTGCACCTACTCTCTGAGGTGTACTTGCCTTTAATACAACCCAGCGTTTCTCGCTACTGTGTGTCCTGCTCAAGCCCTTGTTCAGGATATTGAGAGCTTGGATGTGGGGTGAGACAAAGACCACCTGTCCAGTAGTGAAGTCACAGAGGCTCGGGCTCCTGAGAAATCATGATGTCCACTGATGAAAGCACTTGGTACATCACAAATAGGAGAAATGCTCATCGTATCAGAAAAAATCCTCATTGTCACCATTACTAAAGTTCTTAATGGCCTGCTTGGCCTCAAGGATCAGGATTTGTGTGAACTGATATCTAAAGGAAAGGCCCAGAAACAATGTTGCACTTCTTTATAAAAGTTTCTCTTGGAGCCAGAGATTTAGCTCCCTGGCTTAAGAGCTTGTCTGGTATGCATGAAGTCATGAGTTTAATCCTTAGTATCAAAAATTAAAAATAAAAGGTTCTCTTGTTTCCTTTTTGTTATGACTAGTTTATTTCTGAGGTAAAAATAAAATAAAGACTATTTTCCACCTTCAAATAAAGGTGTTTTGAAGTTGAAGTCCTTTGCAAAAGCACTACCTAGAGGTCACCTTACCCTGCCTGTGGAGACAACACTAGAGTCCTCTAAGAATGGGAAAAAGTTTCTGGAAACAGCCTGTGGTACCAGCCACAGCCTGACCTTCCGGGCACTTCCCTGTGCTCAGCAGTTTGTTCTCCATGAGGGTCTTCCTGGAATAAGTTCTAAAGGCCTGGTGACAAGGACTGGAGGTCCTGGGTAGATTGTAAAAGCAGTATGGGTGGCCAATGGCATCTCTGCCTACCCTTCCTCTTCCAGAGGAAGAATGGGGGCCTACTGGGAGAAAATGTGGAGTGCCAGCCCTTGGTCAAACCCCTAGTTCAAGAGAATACTCATTACCAAAGCCCAGCCAATCTGAACCCCTGCCCTGGATTTCTATTTTCAGGCTTGAAAATTTTCCTCCACCCAATCACCCCATTGGGCCTCAAAGACCAGCAATGTTAAAAGATACACCTATGCTTGGGTGTCTCGGTTTTGAGCTGATACATACACAGAGAAGGATTTCAGTCACTGAGAGTCAGAACAAGTTTGGTGTGAAGGCTCACTGTCACCCCAGACTTCCCAGTCTTCTGCTCTCCTCCCTTCTGCTCTTGAGGAGACGTTTGAGGGCTGTTTCCCTGGCTCCACAGATGTCGCTGAGTAGAGAAGTAGGCAAGGATGTCCAAAGCAGATTTCTGTGTCAGGGAAACCTCAAGAATCTGAAAAAAGGTTAATGGGCCATCTTGAGAACACAGGGGCTAGGGGCAAGATACACGTCCCCAGGTAGGACTCTGGGTCCGATATGTAGTCTTTGCCTTGTTTGCTTATCTGTCTCTTACCTCTTTGTCTTGTCACTTCTTCTTTGGCCTTGAAGAGTAAGACTTGTGGGGCACAGGGAACAAAATGATCAACAGACTCTTTCAAAGAGAAAATGGATCCCTACTCTACTTCCAGCTCACAGCTGAAACCCTGGCAAATTCCAGGGCTCACACAGCCATGCTCGGTCTGACAGCATAGTGCCAGCTGGGTCCTGCCTGCAGATGGTGACTTACTGCCTTGTTCCTCCAGGTCCCCACTCTCAGGAGTCCCAGCCCCCAACAAGACATGCACCAAGCCTCTGCGCTTTACCAAGGCCTGTACTGGCCACCAAGGAGGAGGACAAAGGCAGGCCACAGACCAGTGCATAATGAAGAAATGACAACAGCATGTGATAAACACCTAGCCCAGAATGAGGAGTCAGGGCACACTTGCTGGGGGACAGAGCATCCAGACAGAGCTGCTTCAAGGGCTTGCAACTCACATGGTCACTTTTAAATGTCCCCTGCTCAGCTTAATGCTCTGTTTTGAAATTCTTAGTGACTATTAAACAAAGGACTTGGGATCTTGTATTTGCATGGTGACCCATACATAGTCCTATACCTAAAACCGAAGACGAGGACTAAGTATCCAGTAAAAGAGAGAGCCCGGAGTAAGGCGGGGGGAGGCACTGGGCGGCCTACGCTGTAGAATGTATGTACCTGCTGGGGCCTCCACTGCTGCACCCGAGGACTACAGGGCCACTCATTTACCTGGGTTCCTGTGGGATGAGATTTCTGGGTGACTACACAGCACACAATCTGTTGATATAGATGACATGGGTCACAGCTCAAAATCATTAGTCCTGGACCCTGATTTCTACTCCTTCACCTACCTGGTTTGTGTGGCTTTTTTTTTTTTTTTTTTGAGTACAAGGGATTGGACTCAAATCTTTTGCACTGAACGACCTCTTCCAGGCCTTTTCTTTCTTTCTTTCCTGTTTTAAATTTTTATGTTGTTTTTTGTTTTTGTGGGGTTTTTTTTTTTTTGTTTTGTTTTGTTTTTGAGACAGGGTCTATGTTGCTATGTTTTTGAGACAGTTGTTATGTTGCCCAGACTGGGCTCAAACTTGAGATCCTCTTGCCTCAGCATCCCAGAGTCCTGGAATCACAGGCATGCAGGTGTGTGCCTGGCTGGCTGCATGGCTTTGAATGATTCACTCAACCTTTCTGAGCTTCTGGATCCACACCTGTAAAATAGATACAGTACCTCCCTTGGGGCTCCTCTGACAGCCATAAGCACTTATGTAGGTGAAAGCATTTGTAAATACTGATCTGCTCCCAGATGACAGGCACATCAAGTGAATAACTTCTGTAAGTGCAGTGGGGCAGCCAACACCATCTGACCTCCTGACAACAGAACGCATCTCAGCAGGAGCACAGGTAGGGAAGGCGTCATGCCAGGCTGCGTCAGGAGCAAAGGGAGAGTCTGAAGACAAGGAAAGAGACAGAAAAACAGTTAGAAAGGAGTAGAGGTTGGGGGGTGACAGAAAAAAACATGGAGGTCAGAGTAAGGTCAAGCAGCAGGGAGTGTAGCTACATGTCATGCAAGAATAGGGATGGCGGGCCACTGATTTAAAATCATTTGTGTTGTCATAGAGTAAAGCCTCTTCCTTATCTCTTCATTTTACTCTGTCTGGCCAAATGTTCCCCAGCCTTCCGTCACATCTGCCACAGAAGCAAAATCTCTGGAGTTCTGGTGGAAATGAAGGAGAAGGGCAAACTCTGTTCAGACGAAGGCCAGTGTAGCGTAAAAGAAGTGACCACAAGATGCAAGGGTGGACATAGCCTCTCCAGAGAAGCATGGAGCAAAATGTAACCACGAGCACACAAACGCGCCCAGAAGGCAGGCATGCTGGAATACGCCTGCAATCCCAGCTGCTAGGAAGGGCTAGAGATGTAGCAGCTCAGTGCTCCCCAGGTTCAGTTCTCAGTTCCACAAAAAAGAAAAGAAAAAAGGTCCCTAAAAACCCATGGAAACCTTAGAAGAATTCTCTCCAGATCCACACATGGGAAGAGGAGGAAGTCGTCACAGCTAGTCTCACTGAGTGCAGCCTCCTTTACTGACATCCCACACACAAGCGACTTAGTCTGTTTCGTGTTGCTAAAACAGAATACTTGACTCCGGGTATTTCATAAAGAAGAGGGTCATTTAGCTCACAATTGGGGAGCCTCTTAGTCCAAGACTGGCCAGCCTCACCTGTTCAGCCTCTGGCAAGGGCTCCTTGGACTGGGTCACAACCTGGAGAAGCAGAAAGGAAAAAGGCTGAGTGGAGAAACAGTCAGGTGGAGTGGAAGTGGAGGATGGCCTTGCTTTATACAACCCACTTTCATGGGAGCAGATACGTTCCTCAAGACCAGCACTAACCCAAGCTAAGGCAATACCCCAAGACTTAATTACTTTCTACTAACCTCATTTTTTAACTATTATTTTTTTGGTAGTACTGAGGATTGAACCCAGGGCTTCTGCACTAGATAACATCCCCAGGTCCTTTAACTTTTGCTTTGAGACAGGGTCTTCCTATGTAGTAAGCTCAGGCTGGCCTTGAATTCACTATGTGGACCAGGCTGGCCTTTATCTCCTGGAGATCCTTCTGCCTCAGCCTCCCAAGTATAAAGCCCACAGGCATGCACCACCACACCTGATATCATTTCTGATTTTTTGAGACTAATATGTTAATACTGTCACGCTAGAATCTAAGCTTCCAGCACAGGAACTGGGAGATGACCTACCTCCAAATAACTCCAATAAGCAACAGGAAACATGTTTTCCCATATAGAGTCATAATTCTCAAAGACTCTAAATGCAATGCAATGGTAGAAATACTAGAGGGGGGGAAACAAGTAACACCATGATCAACTGAGTTACAAAATAAACACTTGACACTCAAAGCCCTAGAGAAATCTGCTTGGTCACTTTGCCCCCTACAGTCCTAGCAGATCCCTGCTGGGCTTGTCCACCACATCTGTAACAGGAAAATTCCTGCACTCATAGGAAGTCATCTTCCACCAGAATTCCAAGAAGGACCCAGACCTGAAAAATATATGGGTACCTTTTAAAGCTCAATGCTGACTTCAATGATTTTTATAAATAACGTTCAAACTAGATATAAACTGATGCTTACAGCCTTCCTATAAAAGCTAAAGAAATGTACAAATGAAGTACAAACAAAATGACAAAACCCATAAAAATCCTCTTAACAACATGGATGGCATCGGAGAGAAGAGGTTTTGCTGAAGAACAAACAGCAGCTCAGGAGCAGCCAGCACAGCCTGACCGCTGCAGGGCACGTTCCTTTGAGTTCTGCCAGCCTGGTGAGAGGCTCCATTTTCATGCTGTTTGTCTTTACTTAAACTTCCGCAAAAGCTGCATTTATTCAGCATGCCTTCACTCGGCTCTGACACACCACTTCCCTGTGAAGTTCGCCTCTGTTGGTTTTTCTCATGAGTCCTACTAATCCCGGGGCTACCAGAGAACACACAATCGGAGTCGTGACTGAGAGTGGCGGCCTCATAGGCAGGAAGCTGACCGCTTGGCTGGTATCCGTCCTTTCAGCTGTGCAGGGACCTCGGAGTAGAACCCACTGCCACCACCCTTGGGCAGCTACCAGCTCTCACACAGAGGGTGAGTGCTGTCCTGGGTCGCTCAGCGGTATATGGAGCTGGACGGTGGACCCTGTGGTCTGTGTCAGTCTGGGTGCCCTCCCTGCCACTTTCTCAACCTGCCTCACTGCGCAACTGCTTCAGGTGACCTAGAGTAGGCTTATCTCATCTTGTGTAGACTAATTTGAAATGAACACACTTTTTTTCATGTCATAAGAGAGTTGTAAGCGAGGCATGAGGGCTTCAACTGTAATCCCAGTATTCTGTGAGACTGAGGCATAAGGATTGTAAATTCAAGCCCAGAATGAGCAATTTAGCAATGCAGTGAGATCCTGCCTCAAAATGACAAATTTGAAAAAGGGTTGCAAAGGCTTTAGGTTCAATCTCCAGTCCTGGAAGAGATAGAGATAGAAACAGAGAAAGAGACAAGAGAGAAACAGAGACACAGAAAGGGACACTGAGATAGAAAGACAGAGACAGAGATCCAGACCCCCAAGATTCACCCATCACATTTCCTGAGGTCAGGGCTGTAGCCTGAGGCCTCTGACCCAGGCCACTCAAGCATGGGGAACTGCAGCAAACCAGCAGCTTGGAACAACACCTGTCAGCTACAAAGCACCCCCTGGAGACCCGACACCTTGAAGACACCTCATATCTAGAAAAGCAGAGGCAGCTCTGTGTTGATCCACAGTGGCAATGGCAGTGCCAGGGCTCTGCCACATAGACATCTGCCATGCCCACCTGAAGACACCAGCCCCTGGAGAAGAGTAAGGTGGAGGTATGAAGTTGGTCCAAGCTGGCTGAAGAGGCAGGGCTATCTCTGCGTGAAGAGGGAGTCCACGCACCGAGAGCTGGAAGCTGGAGGCTTTGCTGAGGGAGGAGTAGAAGCTGGGTAAAGACAAGATCCTCTGCCCATGGTGCCCACTGATGGGTCCCCTTCTGTTCCCCACACCCGCCCCTGACTATGGAATCTGGGGCACCAGAAGAAGGACTCTGCCTACGTCCAGGCTGGGGAGACAAGTTTAGAAGACATTCCCCAGCCTGGGGAGAGAGATTAGCCCGGGGCTGTTTCCATGAGACAAAAGATGACTGATGAGTTGATGATAACATGGACTGGAAAGGAAAGGAAAACTGAAAAATAGGAAAGAAAGGAAGAAGATGGAAGAGCAGAAAGTACTGGGATCAGAGCAGAGTCAGAAGCCATATTTAAGGCCGGCAGCGTAGCTCAGGAGAACACTTGCCTAGTATGTGTGAGGTCCTCGGCTCCGCCCACAGTGGAAGGAAGGAGGAAGAAAGGGCAGAAGGGAAGGGGAGGGGAGGGGAGAGGAGAGGAGGGAGGGAAGCGTGCAAGGAGAGAGGGAGGCAGGAAGGAGCAAGGCTACACTTTTAACACACTTCCCCAATTTCTTGCTACAGCGGCCCAACCACTGTCTAGTTTGTGTATTTTTCCAAATCCATTTTATTTCAAGAATAAAAAGAAAAAAAGAAGTAGAAGAAAAAGAAACTACAACAGATTTTCAAAACATATTAATCGGGGGCAACAATGATACATACATTGGGCATTGTCATCCCCAAATCATTCACCAGAGCACAGCATATCTGCATTCAATTTTCCAGACACACAACTCTTTCTCTTTAGTGAACCCAGGAAAATCATTAATTTAACTATTTCTTTTATATACATACATATGTACATATGATTTGGTTTCTTTTGTTACCAGGGATTGAACCCATGACCTCACACTTGCCAAGCAGACGCTTATGCCACAGAGCTAAATCCATATGTTGTTTCTTTCAGCTTCTCACACTAATGAAACAATACAATCTTTACACATGCATGTCTTATTTATTTCACTAATGAGTATATACTCAAGTTGCATCCATTTACTTACAAAAGTTTATCCTTCTCTAGTTTATCCTTCTTTGTGGCTGAGTAGTACTCCATTGTATAAAAATACTGCATCTTTTTTTTCCATTCCTCAGTTGATGGGCATTTAGGTTGTTTTTAAGATCTGGCTATTACGAACTTTGCTGATATAAACATGGGTGCACATATATCACTGTCCTATGGTGTTTTTAATTCTTTTGGAAGGTACTCAGAAGGGGAATAACTGAGTTGAATAAGACCTCCAGTGCTAGTGTTTTGAGGAATCTCCACACTGATTTCCACAGTGGTTGTACCAGTCTGCATTCCCACCAACAGTGGTTCCTTTTTCCCCACATCCCCTCCAGCACTGTTATTGCTTGGGTTTTTGATAGTAGTTATTCTTTCTGGGGTGAGGTGGAATCTCGGTGTTGTTTTAATTTGCATCTCTCAAATGACCACTGATGTTGAACATTTTTTCACATATTTGTTTGTTCTTTGTATTTCTTCATCTGAGAAGTGTGTATTCATCTCGGATGCCCATTTTTGGATTGGGTCTTTAAATCTGGGAGGACTGATTTTTTTGAGTTCTTTCTTTATATGTCTTCAGTAGTAAACCTTTGTCTGAGGAACACTGCCAAACATTTTCTCCCATGTTGTGGGTTGTCTCTTCACTCTATTGGTGGCTTCTCTTGCTGTGCAAAAGCTTTTCAATAGGGTGAGGTCCTAACTGTTGATTCTCTGCTGTGCAATTGGGGTTTTGGTCATAAAGTCTTCACCTACACCAATGTCTTCAAGAGTTTTACCTACTCTATCTTGTAGGAGATTCAATGTTTCTATTTTAATATTAAGATATTTGATCCACTCTGACTTTAGCTTAGTACATGGTGGAAGATATGGGTCTAGCTTTAATCTTCAGCATATGTAGAGCCAGTTTTTCCAGCACCATTTTTAAAGAGGCTTTCTTTGAGTGAATGTGTTTGGCACCTTTGTCAAAAATAAGGTGGCTTGGTGTGTCTGGAGTTGCTTTTACATCTTCTAGTCTGTTCCATTGATCTTTGGGTCTGCTTTTTCATATTTTAAAGAGAATAAAACCAAAAGAAATAAAACAGATTGGAGACAATCAAAACAAAACAATGAATGCAATACAAGACTTGTCAAAACAAGATAAAAGGAAACCAACAGCTACCATGATGCCTCTTGCTATCTTCAAAATAACTTCTCATACTGTCATGCACAATAAAATCAAACTAAACAGAACAGAATAAAACAATCAGAACAAAACAATGAAAGTAATATAGATCTTCAAAACAAGACAAGAATACAGCAGTGTCTACCATAATGTTTCTTGTTATCTTCAAAGTAGCTGCTTATACCATCAGACATAATAAAATCAAACACAACAAAATAAAATAAAATCAATAAAAAGAAAACAAGTAAAGCAATACAAGACTTCGAAACAAGATAATAGGAAATCAATAATGGCTACTATAATACACTTTGTTATTTTTGAAATAGCTGTCCATGCCATTAAATATAAAAAAATCAAACAGAACAAAACCAAGCTAAACAAAACAATGAAAACAATGCAGGGTTTCAAAACAGCATATAGACTCTTAGTTATTTTTTACTTGTCACTGAGACAAAATAGCTGTTGCCCAAAGTTGGGAAAGGAAAGGTTTATCTGTTACAGTTTTGGAGGTTTCAGTCCATACTCAGTTGGCTGCAAGGCAGGGTGGCATGGCGGGCTACAGTTCATGGCAGCTGCAAACAGC